GTGATGGTGGTGGCTAAAGGTATTAGTGAATGGTGGAATATTGGTTGTTGAACCACACATGATATGCCTCATGCTAATGCTGGAGCTCCTCGTACTGTTGTTGTAATTGCTCATATTGCTACCTGATCCATTCTCAATGTTGAGTAGACTCTTAGAAGTGTATACCCAATTAAAAATCCATGTGATGAAGTCTCTATATGATCAAGTAATAAGCCTGAGGCTGGTAGCCATGTGTTGCTACTGGTGCTTCCTCTGCTTCCTCTTGCTCAGGATATGGTATATAACGCCCATCGCGACATATGTTACTGTGAAGAACGTGAACATAATTGTTATAATAATATATTGGGAGGTGATCGAATGGAATAGGGTATTGTAGGCCGTATTTGGATTCCAAGATTTAAGTTATGAGGAGTCCTAGTGCTAGGTTCTACTTGCATTTAAACCTGGTATATCTAATACTTGTCAATTTTTTAATGTAGTGAATAGTCAAGTCTGATGCATAGAATTATGTCTTAAACATAATGAAATATGTAATGAGGGATAAAAGTGGTGTGATGTTGACCCAATCACCTACTTTAGGAATGATGAAGTTTCTAAGAATTTGTTGAATTATACATGCATCTTGAACGAGGGAGTAGACTAAAGGAACATGATTGTTTAGTGGAGTATCTCTAAGTGTGATGTAGGCTTCTGTCTAGTCATAGTCATGGATGAAGGTTATGGGGTGAGCTTTGAGGCTAGTAATAGAGAGAGGTAGGATTTGATCCAAATCTTAATAGGTTAATTTTACAGGCCCATAGACAAAAGAAAGAAGTTTTGTGCCCTCACTATTGATTCTTAAGATGGAAAAGAATTGTAAAAGTGATTTGGAATTGAAAGGGAATGCTAAGATCAAAAGAAATTATGGTGTTATAATAACAAAGATATTGAGTACTTGGAAGTTAAGAACTACATGATTTATGACTTTTAAAGGAGTAATCCCAGTAGCCTTGTATTTGTGGTAAGCTTCTTCATTTGCTACTTCTTGAAACTTGGAATTTATAGAATGTCAAAAGGAGCTACCTATAAGAGCTTGTTGATCACATTTTTGTATGAGGTTAACTAAACCAAATTCAAACTCAATCCAAACTGAAATCAAAATCAAATCCAATCCAAATTAAATTTAAATCCCCTTAATTGGTAGTCAATTATTGACTACCATTTGACCCCTCTTACTCTATCATTAACAATCATTTAAATGATTGTTAATGGTATGAGTACATGAAATTCAATCAACCAAAATCAAAATCAAAGTCAAATCCAAAATTTTAATAAAAAAGGCTGCTATGCCTATTGGTCAAAGCCACATCCAAGTATTCTTTAAATTTTATTTAATTTGAGCTCAATAAATCTCCAAAAATTATGTAATTTGAGTCAAAGAAATATCTCAAATTTTATTTTGTTTGAGCTTAAGAAATATCAAATTATTTTATTCAGGCTTTTGATTGTCAAAATTTTGGCAGTATCCCAGCGTCTCCCCTGTTTAGGGGGAACCACGGAAACTGGGTCATCCCACCACGCTACTTGAGCATGTATGGTAGGTGTCGGGGGACACCAGGCCGTACATCTTTCATCCCACCACTCTACACGAGCGTGTATGGGGCCTTCAAAAGTACCCGTAAAAGAACAGAAGTGGCTTTCCCCACCATGCTACAAGAGCGTGTATAGGACTTGCCCACCTCGCTGCATGCGACACACCAGGCTCCTTCCTACCATGCTATGAGAGCGTGTAGGGAGGTCCGTCGGCTCGCCGCAAGCGTCGAGAGCAAGATTTGAGATTTTAGAGTTTGGTGAACGATATACCTTGACGAGCGAGTGAGGCGACGATAACAGAGATTTGCGGCGAGGCTGAAGAAGATATTTTTTTGTTATATTTATTTTCTGATTTTTTTATATATTTATTTTTTATAATCATATAGAGAAAGGTTAAGATTAAGAGAGTTTGATGTATGGTGCAATAATGATTTGGAGTTGGGATTGGTAAGTAATAAGATGTGCTTTGTATAAACAGATAAGTCGTGAGGTTGATTTTGAATGTAGAAGATGGAAAGGCAAGTGCTGTAGGAGGTTTTTGGACATGTGCGAGAGCAGTTTGGTTACAAGAAGACACGTAGATGTTAGCCATCATTTTTCTTGCATGGAAGACAGGTAGAAGGAATAATTTGGCAAAGCAAATTAATAGGAAGGCACGTGTATGTACAGATAAGTTAATAGATATTTATATCTATGCCTATGAAAGTAATGATGATTTACTGAAATAAGTGGAAATGTGTACATGTTAGAGAATTAAATCATATATACTTCATTGAATGTTATATGTAAAATAAAAGAGGCTTCGTTTGGGACGGTTTTTTTACTGCTTTTTAAAACGGAGTTTTAGTACAAATTTTTTTTATTTTTGTACTAAAACTCCGTTTTAGAAAGCAATAAAAAAGCCGTCCCAAACGAAGCCTAAGTCTTTTTGCAAACGGGCGACATTCGGTCAATGCCAGAGCAACCATAATTCTTCGATATCAATAGCCTTCACTCAATTCGATTATGAGGTGTCCATTCCTGATTAACTTTAATATTCTGAACACATTAATGAAACCCATTTAATAATCAGAGATTATTTTGGGTAATTTTTGCTAGAGTCATGCTTATTAACAAAGTGTTGCTTGATTGAGTCGCATACGAATAATTTCTATTTGAAATATTTATTGTCCTGAATGCATCGATGTGAACCATTTTGTAATCGAACAAAACTTTAATCATTTCACTATGATCGAGGCACTCCAATCTTCGTTCTAAATGATGTCTTATTTACCAACAATAATCGATCATCATCTCCTTTACTTGTATTGACTATGGCATATATATGGTGGTCAACATCATCATGTATGAATAAGAGAAAAAAGCTAACATATCATATTGGACAATCTTTAGATCATATTGTATGGTGTGTTTGAAACGTTAAACAATTTGTCTGAACAATTATTTACATCATACTGGACGGGTCTAGTTTCTTAACTAATCATACTCTACGAACTCAAATCGTATTGTACGAATAGTGAGAGCAAACTTAATTTTTTTTGTTTCTTGAAGCTCAATACTTAAACAAAGCTTTGTGACTTTCTTTGTAATGGTGAGAGGATTTTGTGACTTCTGAATGAACTCTAAGAGAAAAGCTTCTGAGAACTCTAGGGTTTTAAAGGAAGGAGAAGGTAAGGTTGAGCGTGTAGGAGGAATGTGAGGGAATCACACGGCTGCTCCGTGCTAGCTATACCCTGGCTCATCTAGTGGCCTTGGTGAGTCTTTGGAAGCTTTCTTAGGAGAGAGGCTTCTAAGTCAAGTCCTTGAGGTACTCTGCTATCTCCTGGAGGGACAAAAAGGAGCTGAGGTTCTTTATCTTCTCTAAGAGGGAGAAAAACTAGTCAATGTTCACTGCTGTCACTGGGAGGGTGACATAATATCTAGCACTACACCGCATCAAGTTTGGTGAAAGTGAGTTTGTAAGGGCTTCTCAGCCTTGATGTGGGAGCAAAAAGAGGGTCACTTAATATTAGTGCAATACTCTGAGCGAAAAACTCTGGGGAGTGGATGTAGGTCAAAGTTGGTCGAACCACTATAAAAATATCTGGTGTGTTTTTTTCCTTTTCACTCTTTTTTATCTGCATTTTATTTTTGTTATAATTGCTTTAAAAATTAGTGATTATCGCTTTGTTTCGTAAATCAAAACATCATCATGGTTCAATAAAGATTTTTTATAAACTCATTAGGTGCAGTTCGAGCTCACAAGTTTATATTTTTCATGATAATAAACATTGTGGCTCACATCCTTATGTCTACTTCTATTTATAATGTATTTTTATTTGTATGTGTATTAACATTTAGGGAACATCATGCACCATCCTACAAAGATTTAAGGCTCAAGATTGGATAGAATATATTATACTGTAAAGAATTTTGTAATATTTACTTATGTATTTTTTATTTCTTAAGTTAAGTCCAATAAAGGCGTAAACTAGCTTAGTGACCTCACACACACACTTAGGAGTGAGATTGAGTCAAAACCAGATGTTTAAATTTTGAACTAATTATATTACACAATTTATATCATACTATACGATCAGCTCATCTAGCTAATCGTACTAGATGATTTAGAACTTCTAGGACAATTAGTTATGATCATGAAAAAGGCTGCCAATCATAATTTAGGAAATATTTTGAATTTCATATTTTGTTCTAATTATCCAGGATGATATACATCATACTGAACGATCTATAACAATCATGTTTAAATTGATTCAATGATTAGGGGACTAATTATGGTTAATCTTTATGATTTATGTGGAGTTTTTGCTACTTCTCTTGTTTATGTTGGGTTTTTTGTTTCATAACAAATAAAGTGAATTGGAACGTGATATTCACAAACAATATAATTTTGAACATGAGCTCAAATCTAATGAACAAAATTTCGAAGGAGCCAAACACAAATAACCAATGGGTGTTTGCTCAAGTTAGAAGAATCATTTACAACCCTAATGCCCATTTAATTCATTTTATTATTGATTAATGCTTAGGGCTATAAATGAATTAAATCAAGATAATAACTACAATATTTAAATTAATTCATTTATTTTTATAGCAAATTACTTGAGTTTAAAATCATAATAAAATTTATTTACAGGTTTTCTTCCTGAGTTCAAGAAAAAACTTAATTAATTATATATTTTATAATAATAATTTAAAAATATTAAAAAAAGTTTAGATCTGTCCATTTAACTCATTTTAAAAAGTTCAAAATTTTATTCAATTTTATTAAATAAAAATATAAATTAGTTTCAAATTATTCATCATAAGCAGATAAAAAATATAATAATAAATAAAATGATATTCCCATCAAAATTAAACCTTTTATTTCTTATTTCACCTGACTTTCTATTCACATCTATTCGAAGCCGTCGGATTTCAAAGGAACGGTCGAATTGAAGGCTTCCCCTTAACAAGGGCATCCTAGGCCCTGCTTGGAGACTATCTTATCTTCATCTCTTCCAATCAATCTCTGTTTCTCCTACTGTTCAGTTGTTCTGCTCTCTCTACCTCGATCATCGGTGCCATGGCGGCGGAATGGTTTGTTGGTCCAATCTTGGAAAAGATCATCAACGCTTGCTCTGATTACCTGCGAGAACAAGTCGGATGGCAGACGGGCATGAAGAAGGAGCTGGAAAGCCTGCGAGAAAACCACCCCAAGATCCAAGCTGTCGTCTTTGCCGCTAACCAAGAACAAATTAGCGATCAGAACCCAGCTCTCAACAAATGGATATGGCAGCTGCGAGATGCTGTTGATGAGGCAGATGATGTGCTCGATGAGTTTGAGTACATGAAGCTTGAAAAAAAGCTGACCAAAAACAAGAAGCTGAGAAAGGTGCGTTCCATCATGAAATCCGTAAGTAAAAGACTTGTCAAAATTGGCAAACGTGCTCTCAAAATTGATCCCAAATTGAAGAGGCTGGAGGAGGTTGTGCAGAAACTAGATAAAGTTTCAGCTGGGGTTAGTACTTTTCTTCATCTTCTAGATAGCGCAAAGCAGGAGCAGCGGGAGCAGCAGCGTGTGTTGTCCGAAGCACGTGAAACAGGATCCTTGGCTACAAATGATCTCATCGGGAGAGGCGAGGCTAAGGATTTTGTTCTGCAATGGTTGAGGAAGCCATCAAATGAGCCTCGGACAACTAGGTACGGAAACATTTCTCTTCTATCTATAGTTGGCCATGGTGGTATGGGAAAAACAACTCTCTTGCAGCACGTCTATGAAGATGAAATGACGAAGGAATTTGATCTTAAAATGTGGGTTTGTATTTCCAACAACTTTGATGTGAAAAAAGTCATTGCAGATATGTTGGAATCTCTTAAGAAGGAGAGGCCTCGTTTGGAGACACTTAAAGCACTTCAAGATTGTCTTCAGACTGAGATGATGTCCAAAAAGTTCCTACTTGTGCTGGATGACATTTGGGAGAGTGATGAGGAGCTGGATAAACAAAAATGGGAGAAGTTGCTTGCCCCTCTGGCTTATGGGAATATTGGTAGTAGAATTTTGGTAACAACTCGAATGGACTCGGTTGCAATGATGATTGCAACGGTCATTAAAAAGAAGACGGAAATATTTAGATTAGAGGGCTTGGAGGAAGATCAGTGTTTGCAGCTCCTCAACTCTCATGCATTTGCTGATGTAGAGAATCCTAATGATTATAAAAGATTAAGATCCATTGCTGGTGAGATAGTTAAAAAGCTTTTAGGATCTCCATTGGCAACAAAGGTCATCGGTGGTGTTTTGAATTCTAGCTTGGATGAAAGACATTGGACAAAAGTTTTAAATAGTGATTTTGTAAGTCCAAAATTGGGTCAGGATGACATCTTTCTCACTTTAAGATTGAGCTATATGTTCCTCCCAAAACATCTACAAAATTGCTTCGCATTTTGTTCTATATTTCGTCAAGATTATCGGTTTGATAAAGATGATTTAGTCAAAATGTGGATTGCATTGGGTTTCATTCAGCAACCTCATAATCAAGAATGGACTATGGAGGATATTGGAGGAAGGTATTTTGATGATTTGGTTAAAAAGTCATTCTTTGATAAGTTTGGACCATATTACAAGATGCATGATTTAATACATGAATTAGCACAATTAGTTTCCATACATGAATGTTTAAGAGTTGAGGATAGTACAAAGTTGCATTCTATAATTCCTGAGACTCTTCGACACTTGTCAGTTCAAACTACAAATGCAGACATCATAAAAAAGATTGAGAAGTTTAAATATTTGCATTCTCTTTTCTTGTTTGATAGAACTTTTAATCAGGATCTTTGCAATGCACTTACTGAAATATTCAAAGCATCGAGAAACTTACGCTTATTATACATATCTTCTATACCCTTGAAAACGATACCTGAGGGAATTGAAAATTTGATACATCTTCGATACTTAAAGATTGATGGTTCTTTTTTTACAATGCTGCCAAGATCTCTAAGTAATCTCTATCACTTGCAATATATAATCTATGATAGCAAAAGGGCAAGCCAACAAGATTTTTTACCAAGGGACATTAATAACCTTTCTAACTTGCGTAACGTGAAATTGCCTGGGAATTATATTTCACCGATATGTGGGATTGGGAAGCTAAAGTCTCTTCAAGAACTGAATATGTTTTCTCCTAGAGATGAGAGCGGTTATAGAATTGCGGAGTTGGAGAATATGAATGATCTTTGCAAATTAGGAATCAATTGCCTTGAAAGTGTTAAGGATGCCGAGGAGGCTTGTAGTGCCAAATTATATGCCAAGAGGAGGCTCACATATTTAACTTTATGTTGGAGTACCACTGATTCGAGGAACATCGGTTTAGATGAGAACGTGCTTGACAACCTTCAACCACAAAAATGTCTAAGGAATTTGAGCATAAAGAGATACATGGGTGCAAGGTCTGCAGTATGGATGAACAATGTCAATCCGATCTTCAATCTAGAGAAAATCTTATTGACAGAATGCTTGGAGTGGGAAACTCTTCCTCCTTTCGGGCAACTTCCCTTCCTCAAGTCTCTAAAACTTGAGGAGATGCCGAAAGTAAAATATCTCCAAAGTAAATTTAATAGGAATGATAAATACCATGCCTTTCCATCGCTACAAGTGTTACATATTAGCTACTTAGAAGCATTAGAGGATTGGTTTGAGGCAGGAGTAGCTGCTGAAGATGCATGTTTGTTTCCTTGCTTAATTGAACTGAAGCTATTTGTCTGCCCGAAGTTGAAAGAGTTGCCCTCTTTGCCTCCTAAGCTCAAGAGCTTGAAGATACATTTTACAGGGTGGAAGACTTTGAATTGTTGCAGCATTTCAAATTCTCTTCCCCTTGAAACATTAGAGGTCTCTGGCTGTCCAAACATGACATCTCTTCATCTGGCTGATGAAATAGCAAGACTTGCAGCACTAAGATCCTTGACAATTACAAAGTGCCCCAATCTGATCTCTCTCGGTGAAATGCAAACCGCTAATAATTGCCATCTCATGCTCAGCCAACTTAGCATAAGTGATCCATCGGTGTTGCTAATGGAGCCATTGAGAAGTATCGCCGCCTTGAAAAATCTGAGAATCGGGGATAATGATGTGCTGGTTTCATTTCCAAATGAGGCGGACCAGTGGTTTCTGAAAGTTAGATCTTCTCTTTCTGAGCTGGTATTTTCATATCTGAAATCCTTACAGTCTCTGCCTTCCTCCTTGGAAAGCTTATCTTCACTTCAGAAACTGCATATTTATGATGCTCCTATGCTTCGGGAATTACCGAACCTTCCTCACAACTTAAATCTTCTATCCATTTCGAGATATCATCCAGAGTTGAAGGAGCGCTATGGAGAGGATGGAGGCTCCGATCGGCACAAGATTGCTCACATTCCTCATATCCTTATTGATACATGAGCAAACTTCTTTCTTCTTTTCTTATTTGTTTGTATAATTTGATGTAATCAATTATATTTATTTATGTATCACTTGGTGGTCCCTTTATATATAAATATTTTTTTTTTCTTTTTAATTTTTTATTGATTTCTCGAAATGAAATGATTATTGAATTATTATTTAATTTTGGTTTTATGTTTTTGAGTTTGTAAAAATAAAATAAAATTTACATTATCAGTCATATTAGCTGCACAAGCTAATCAACTAATTTTTGAATTTATTGTCTTAGATAAAAATTAGAATTATTAACTTGGTTTTTGATAGTACGTACAACATGGAGAAGAAGATATATCGAAGATTATTGATTAAATATTAATATAAAAAGTTAAAATCTATCTATCAAACTATTTATTTGATATTTTCCATTTCACTTCATATAAAAATATAGATAATTTAAACTATAAAAAAATTAATACAACAACAACAACAACATCAAGCCTTTATCCCACTACGTGGGGTCGGCTACATGAATCCTTTATGAATATAAATAAACAACCTTTAAACTCTTTATTATATGACAAATTTTAAAATTTTATTCAATTTTATTTAATTTTATAAATAAAAAATATATTCTAGGAACAAATATCAAATTATTCATTAAATACATATTTGCACAACCCTGTAAAAACTAGACAATTTAATCATTCAGAGATTAAAATGCCAAATTACACGCTTGGAAGATTTTAATATTTTGCATTACCACAAAATTTCCATTATTTAAACAACTTCACCATATATACAAAAGCCTAATTTTGACAAAGATTACAACTAAGTTGTTAGTAAGAAAATCAAAATACAATTCAATTAATCATGCTACATTTGATTCAATAGTAACTTAATTATAATATAATTTTATCTATAATTAACCATTATGTCAAATCTAACCAACATCTAGACATCATCCGCTTATAATACAATATCATAATAGATATCATAGGAACTACAATTAACTAATTATAAGATTCATTAAAAACAACCCACGGGAAATGCACATAAAAAAAATAAGATCTAATACTAACATTTCTCTTACAACTCCGAAATATTTTATCACAAATTAAACATCACATATAGTCCATATTAGGGATGTCAATTTTTGACACGACCCGAAACACGACCCGAACCCGACTCGGAAAAATCCGGGTACGGGTCAACCCGAACCCGAAACGGGTCGGGTTCGGGTTGAACAAATCAACCCGTTTTAAAAATTGGGTCGGGTTTGGGTTGACCCAGCAACCCGAAAGTGACCCGAAAGTGACACAAAAACTCATATTTGACCCAAAAACCCGAGATTGACCCGTTTTTTACCCGAAAATCGAATATTGACCCAATTTTAACCCGAAAATTAGAAATTTTAGGTCAACTTCGGGTCATTCGTGTCGGGTCGGGTTCGGGTCCATAAACCTAACCCGTTTTTTAAAAAGGGTCGGGTTCGGGTTGACCCGAACAGTGCCGGGTTCGACCCGAACCCGACCCGAATTGACACCCCTAGTCCATATGCAGTGTTTATTTAAAGAATTTAAAAGCTAATACAAGCAATAAATAATTTCAATTTATAGACAGGCTTATAAAGATCACTAGTAAAAAAAAATACCTTTTGTAGCACTTAAAATACCTTCTCCCATGGGTTAAAACCGCCACAATAATGTTTGTGATGGTTTCAAAACCGCTATATGTCTGCCGCATTTGCTTTCTGCTGCAAAGCCATTTCGCTGTTATTTTGCAACCGACAAGGAAATGGTATTTGTGGATGTTATAACCACTACTATTGTCCAGATTTGAGGAGGTTATAACCACTACTATTGTCCAGATTTGAGGCGGTTAAAACCGCCACAAAAGGTACATTTTTTTTAATTGTCCATATCAATGACATTACTTGATATTATTTAAACAAACAAATAATCATAGTAGAAAATAAATTTAATGTTAATTTTTCTTAGTAAATTGATTTTTATCGAAATTTAATCAGAATATCCTCACCAAAAATATCCTCTTTGTTAACTTAAAATCTCTTGTGCTAATCAAAATTAATAACTAGTCATACTAAAACAAGTTTTGGATTTAACAAACAAAAAAAATATTATTTTTTTCCGAAAATCCTAAGAATCATTTCAACTTCTAACATAAAACACCTAAAAAATAGTCATCACAAAAATCTTGTAATTATGCACTTCATATGGTTGTTGGCTCATAAGCATACCCTCATTTTGATCAGATAATCAAAAACTAAATAATTGAGTGTATCATTTTTTATTTTACTAGTATTGTTGTTAGCTTAAAGATGCAATAGCGCATGCTTTGTCAGGAACATAGAAGACATTGTTTGGAAAAATATTTGTTGCAAAGTATCAAAAAAATGTGCTTAGTACCAAATGAGCAGCTCCATAAAGCAAGGATTCAAGATATGAGATTTAACAAATCATGAATCTACATTCAATGATACAAAAGTACATACAATTCATAAACTACATTGTTGTTATTCATAAACTAAATTTCTACTTCTAACTTTACAACTATGCTTTATGTTCGTAAACAGCTTTTTATTTGGCTAGATAAGTTAAAGATCTAAACACAAACTCTACGAATGAAGACTTCATTGGGACAACTCTGAGGGAAGTGAAATAGTAATTTACACAACCATGGCTCATGAAACCTTCATCATCACAATCAGCATCAACATAAACATCACTAACTTTCTAAATGAGGTTTTGTTGGGACAACTCCAGAGAGACAAGTCAAATAGTTCCACACTACAAGTCAAAACATTTTTGATGCCTCACCAATAATACATAGGACGTGAAACTGACATACATAGAGATATAAAGAGCAGTAACATTATCCTCCACATAAAAAACTAATTGTCTTGAGTTTATCAAAAAGACAATACCCACCTCTTTGTAAATAACAAGTAAGGTAGCTAAAAATTCAGTAAAATCTAAAAATGCCCTTAATTACATAACCCACTAATATTGGATACACCACATAATGACATGCAACAAAATTTATGCTTTGAAGAACATTGGCTTGAAAGATACATAACCCACTAAATCCAAAAATTTTCTTGATTTGCGCTTTGAAGAACTTTGGCGTGAAAGATACATCTAGCACAACCAGGTCATTTATCATAAAATCTGCATTATATATGTGATGCAGTAATGAAGCTTGCTAATGATAATTTGAGTTTATTTTTAATGATTACAATGAAAATGAGTTTACTAATGATTAATTTTGTAGATTTGCATAATAGTTTTAGTATATCATGCAATTAAATGAAGAAATTAGTAGTCTTAACAATAAAAAATTATAAAATGCTTGACTATTCAATTGAGAGATTGAAGGGTAAGATAGCACCAATCTTGAGGTTCAAATTTCTAATCACTAAAACGAAAGACAAAAAAAAAAAAAAAAACACCATAATTATATAGAAAGGGGAATAAAGAGACTTATTCCTAATACTCAAATTGAAGAGACTTCCTTCAAGTGAAATTCATATCTTTTTTTACAAATGCGAAAAATGCATCACTTGGTGAAACAATTATATATAAATATATTTTTCTTTTAATATTTCATTATATATGTCGTGGATCATTCACAACCGAAATCTAAAGAACAAGTCTTAAGAAGGAGCATGCATGGGATGTTTTTTAGCAATAGGAGCAGAAAAAATCATAAATTTAAAATGGGGGCAAATCATCTAAAATGGATGGCACATTCAATAGAATGCGCTGAATGATTCGAGGCAATTAGAACGCGCCGAATCATTCGGCACATTTTATTGAATGCGCCGAAAAGATAAGCGCATTCTTGCGCTCTCCCGTCCAGTCACCCGACCAGATCCACCTTCTGTGGAGAGAAAGCTAAAAGCATTTGCAAGAGTGCGGGGAGAAAGCTAAAGGCGTCCGGCAGCAGCTAACTTTGATCTTTTTTATATATTTGATTTCTTTAAGTTGGCTATATAACACTTGTTATGTGAAAGCTCCTTAACAATTCAAAGACGAAGTGTGGCTCCATCTGGCTTCGATCTCTGCTTGAATTTCTTAGGTAAGTGGATAGTTATAACTTCATTTTTTTGATATAACATTTTTCATTAATGATATTTGTTTGAAGCTCCAACATGATATTTTATGTTAGAATATATGTATATGCTAGTTTAATTAATTGTGCTTTTTAATTAAAGAGTTGTATTTTTTTACATGTTTAATATTGAGTTTTATTTGAAGTTGTAACCTAATTCTTTTGTTAGAATAATAATATAGAGTAGTGTAAGTAGTTGCATATTTTAGTTAAAGAAATTTTTATTTTAGATTTGTAATATTAAATTAGTTAAGTATATCATTTTGGGTGAAATTCAAATATGAGAGTTTTTTTTTAGGTTTTTTTAGTGATTATAATGAATACGCTACCAATTTGAGAGATCAATTTTCTTCAGCATTTTACATAACATCTCTGAACTCACTCCATTCTCATAGGTCGGACCCGCTAGTACGATCATGTATCTTCTACATATTAATTTGCATCAGGGTAACGAAGTTGCTCAAAATTGCCTGAGCAAAACTTAAATTTTCATCCCGATTGTAATAGTAAAATCCATGAAAAAACTGCACATGACCTCGAAGGGGCAAAATAATATTCTATGTATATTTAACTATTATAATCTAGATGAAATATCATTATTTTCAGTCATCTCCTAATGTCGGTCATTTGAACATGATGATAATGATCTTCGTTGACGTTAATTTTCCCAAAAAGACAAATTGAGTTTTGAAAATCAATTTTAAAAATTAGATTTTGGCTATAAATATCTTATGAGCACAAGCCTTCATAGTTAATTACATCGTAGAGAGATTGAATTATTTATGAATACTCTCGATTAGAATAATGATTTAAATTTTATTTGGAGTTTTACAAGGAGTAATACCAGAAAAAGTGAGGTTGGAAATCTCAACTAGGAATAGATCAAAATTTGAGCACTTATTTCCAGAGGTCAAAAGAGGAAAAGTAGGAAGCAATTTGGAATTCTGAAACAGTTCAGA